GGGGCGGTCGAGTCCCGACGCTACAAGCGCCGCCCGTTACGTTCTCTTGAAGCGGCTCCATTCAACCTGCAGCTGCTGCTCCACCGAGACCAAGACAAAGATGCCCCGTGTCGCCTTACCATACTTTTGGGGCAAATGTTGTTAGCGAGCAGTATATATGAAGGCCGGCACGGCACACGAGGGGGTGGGTGGCCAGCACCACGCCCGACCGCGTTTGTCTCCGCGAGTGGCGATGTTTACACCACCGCGCCAGGTACTCATTTGAGGTTGAGTCGACGTAACCACGACAATACCACTCCCCAGACACCAATACCAATATTGGTGTTAGTGTTCACGCGCGCATATACAGGCCCGTGCACTCCAATCGCTGTCGCACGCACGCGTGGCTGTGCGCTCGTTTCACCATTCCGCCAGGAGCTCGCGCGTTCCCGTTTTTCTGCCGGCTCCTCCCGCCGTTTGTTCAGCGTGAGGCACCGTCTCCCGAAGCCCTTGGTCGTGGCGCTGCGTGGCGCCGTCCGGCCTCGACCACCGCCGATGTTCGCTCGTCGCGCCTCCGGGGCGCCGGCTCCGGCGGCTCCGCAGCGTCCCCGGGCCGGGCGGGCGCTCCCACCGTCCGCTCCCGGCGCTTAGCGTCCGCACGGCGGCGCTGCGCGCCCGGAGGAGGAGGAGGCCGGCGCGCGGGGTGGGGGAGCGCCGGTGGGAGGAGCCGGAGGGGGAGCGGCGCCCGGCGGCTTCGGGGCCGGCGCCGGCTTGACCGCCGCGGTTCTGCGCGCGCCGAGACGAGGGAACGCGGCGACCTGGGGGGGGCCGGGTTCACGAGCCGCCCCCCTCCCGGACGAGGTCGACCCCCGCGCGCCGCGAGGGAGGGGGGGCCACGCGGAGGGGCGCGGCGGGGTGAGCGCGACGGGGGCCGCGAGCGGTGCCGGCGGAGCGGAGCGCCCGACCGCTCGGGCGGCGCGCACGGCAGACGGCCGCCCGGGCGGGGACGGCGCCCATCTCCCAGGATGCACTGCGTCACCTGACCGGTCTCCTGCAGCTTCCTGAGCAGCTCCTCGAGCGCCAGGCTGGGTGCGCTCACTCGCTCTGTGTGGCCCTGCTGCTGCCCGGGGTCCCCCCCCGCGGTCGTCGCGTCCGACCCGGCGCTCTCCCGGGGCCAAACGGCGAAAGCGGCGGCGGCGGCCGCGGCGGTCGCGACGGGCGACGGCCGCGGCCGGGGGTCCGCGGCGCCGCCCCCGCCGCCCGCCTTCCTGCGCGTCGCGGGCGGCGTCGACTCGGGGGTGGGCAGCGCCGCCAGCTCGGGGAGGGGGCGGCCGCCGGCACGGGGGGAACGGCGGGGGGAGCCCCCCCGCCCACTCGAGCGCCGTCACGTCCACCTTGCCGACGGCCATGAGCGGCACGAGCAGCGCGGCCGACCTGGCCACGGCGTCGACCTTGCCCCGCGCGGCGCCCTCCAGCAGCAGCTCCTCGAGCAGCCGCGAACGGCCGTAGGGCCCCGCCGGCCCCGGGCCGGCGCCCGGGGCCGGCGCCGCGGGCGGCGGCTTGCGCGGCCGCTCGGGCCGCCGGGGCCGGCAGCGCCGGAAGAGGCAGACGGTGGCGACGCAGGAGAGCGCCGCGCCGAGAGCGAAGGCGCCGAGCAGGCAGAGCCACACGATGCCGGCGGGGACGCGGCCCGGGGAGGTGGAGACCCGCGGCTCGCGGATCGCTCCTGTGGCGGCACGCACGGCGCCAGCGGCCACTCGCGACACGCGGGACGCTCGCTACTCGCACTTGACACTCACTTCACAGTCATTACACTTGATGCTGCGCACACTTCACACTACACGATCACTACTCACTCAGACGTGACACTACTCACGCTTGGCACTCACTGCACATTCACTCTTCAGGCTTGACACGACTCGCACTTGCCATGACTCACGCACTTCACAATCGCTACTCACAGTTGACACTAAACGCAGGACACTCACTACTCTTACACCGTGACGCTCCATGTGATGCTGTGGAGGAGACACTCACCGCTGGACGTCACAACGGAGTCTGTGGAAGCACGGGGCAATGGAGACGCACAGGATCATCATCGTCGTCATCACCGTCATCATCGTCGTCATCACCGTCGTCATCATTGTCAATATCGTCGTCGACATCGTCGTCATCATCGTCATTATTGTCGTCCACATCGTCGTCATCACCACCAAAGTCATCATCATTGCAACCACCATCATCATACTCGTAACCATCGACGTCATCAGCATCGTCACCATCATAAGCAGCGCCACCACAATCTTGCACAACCATGTCAATATACACACTAGGCCACTGCACCAAAGTCAAATCACAGCACACAAATACAAAGATCCCCCGTATAGCCTTAACAGACTTGGGGCAAGTGCTGTTAGCGACCACCTATCAAGGCCGGCATAGCACACGTGGAGGTGGGTGGTCGGAACCACGCCCGGCCGCCTTTGTCTCCCTAGTGGCGATGTTTACTACACACCGCACCTCGTACTCATTTGAGTTCCCGAGTCCGGTTCAGATAATCGTCACTGGTACGCTTAGGTTTTTTCGGTAAAGTCGTGTAGGTAAAAATAATAATAAAAAAAATCAATGAAAAAGAACTAAATCGATTTCATAAAGTTATTTTTTATTTTTACTATTTATTTACCGAAAAAACCTAAGAGTATGAATCCCGAGTTCGATTCACGCCGTGAGCGTGAATCGAACTCGGGTCGCCAGATTCACCGCGCAGCGCGCTAATCGCTACACCGCCGCTCCCCAACCACTACCACGGCAACAACATCACCACGGCGCTTGTGCCAGGCTATGTGCGTGCACGTTAAGGCCACGTGAAGTGTCGATCTACCACAGCACATGGCACAGACAGAGACACTGGACCCCCCCTGCAGGACTGTGGGGGGCTCACCGGCGCAGTCAGGCAGGTTCCCCGCGCTCCCCGTGGCGAGGGCTTGCTCCGCCATGGGGCTGGGGACACAGAGGGGACCCCCCCCTCATCCAGTTAGGCACGGCCCCCACCGACACCAACACTCGGCAACCCCAAACAACCCCAAACATCCCCAAACCCTCGCGTCTCAGTGGGGCTGCTGCTGCGGTTTGGTGACGTCACTGCCAGTGCGTGGCGCTTTGTGACGTGTGGTGTACGGTCTGTGTTTGCGGTGTGCGTGGGTTATTGAGTGTAATGCGGTGTGTGTAGTGCGGTGCGAGTGGTGTGTGTATTGTGTAGTGCGGTGTGTGTAGTGCGGTGCGAGTGGTGTGTTGTATTGTGTAGTGCGGTGTGTGTAGTGCGGTGCGAGTGGTGTGTGTATTGTGTAGTGCGGTGGTGTAGTGCTGTGTGTGTGTAGCGGTGCATGTGGTGCAGTGCGTGCTGTGTGGTTCAGTGGGTAGTGCGTGTGGTGCGTAGTGTGCGGTGCATGTGGTTGGTATGGTGCGTGCGGTGCGTGCGGTGCGCGAGTGTCCGCACCTGCCGTGGGATGATGGCGTGACGCGGCTGCAGGGTCCCCCCCGACCAGGCGCAGTACGGGTCCCGGGACGCCAGCAAGCCCTGGGGCCCACGCGAGACGGAGCAGGTCAATACCAGCGTATCTCCTGCACCTTCAGTCAATCGGTCCACTACTACGAATCTTAATCGATTTTTGACCGGGCCTATTAATCACCCGGGCCAAAATTGCGTCGGTACCACCCTCCGCTCGAGCCCTGCCTGGGGTCTGGGTACCCCACGGGGAACCCACGGGGTACGCGCGACGCAACGGACGCAACGGACGCACACCTGTCCACCCATACGGTTTACCCGTATTGTTGCACAGGGAAATTGAGTAACAAAAAACATTGTCTATTTGTGTTTCTACCATGTGATGGTACTTGTAGAATTAACGTTTAGATTTATAATGGCACGGGGTGACCAACAAGGTCTGAATTGGTCGTAATAAGGTAGGGGGCACTGGTAAGGGCGTCGACAGTTGGTGCGAACGTGACCCGACTCCCGTCGCCCATCGTGCGGCCATGGCCCTGGGACCAGGTACGCCCCCAAGTTCCGACCACCCGGCAACGGCGCGGGGGCGGCGAGTTCCAACGCTGGCGCACGCGGGCAACGTTGTTTGTTGTGCCTGGTCGGCTGTAGCAGGCTTCTTGACGACACGAAATTTGACCACATCGTTCCCAAAGATCAATCTGGGGCGGATTTGTTGTCGGTTTTTTTGTGACGAGAGGGGCCCGGCCGCTCCGGCCCCGTTCGTGGAACACAGCAGTCGTGGGGGGAGGGGGGGGTTGTGGGGGTGGGGGGGGTGTGAGAGGAGTGGGTTCACGAAGAGTCGTGAGAAGGTGATAGGCGTGTGTCTACAGGCGTGTACCTAGGCTGTGGTGTGGACATGGCCCTAGGGGTTGTAGCCGACTACTTCTTGCAGTCTGCGTCGCCGCGCGACAGTGGCTTGAGCGGGGTGCCGCCCAGCACGCAGGAGGAGAAGGCGAGGAAGACGGCGTGGCGCTCCGCGTCCACGAGCAGCGCCCGCACCGCGCGCGGGGACCGCTCGCCACAGCTGGGGGCGGGGCACGTGATGGCACACACAGCGGGGACACACACGACGTGGCACACATGGGATGACATGGGAGGGGTACATGAGGGAGACACGGGGAACATGGGGCGGGGGGCGGTGGATGGGAGACACGTGGGGAACACACGGGCCGGGGGGGGGGGGGATCGTGGGAGGGCACACATGGGGAGAGATACGGGGAGGGCATAGAGTGGGACACGGGGACACGAGTTCAATTCCGCTCAGGGCCAGCTCCAGCGACGAGCGTGTGGACGTGCGGTGTGCGTCTCGCCCCACGTGTGCGCGTCTCCCCCCACGTGTGCGTCTCCCCCCACGTGTGCGTCTCCCCCCGTGCGCGTCTCCCCCCACGTGCGGGTCTCCCCCCACGTGCGCGTCTCCCCCACGTGTGTGCGTACTCGCGGGCGCTGTAGGGCTCCGCCTCCTCGAGCAGCACGGCGCCACCACCACCGCCACCACCGCCGCCACCGCCCGGCAGCAGCAGCAGCTTGAGCAGCACGCCGCTCTGCGCCGCGAGCAGCACCACCGTCTCGTTGCCGTGGCGCCCCGCCCTCACGTCCACCGCGATGTGGGTCAGCCGGTAGCTGGGCGGGGGGTCGGGGGGGGTCACGCCGGGGGTCACGCAGAGGTCGCGCGTTAAGATGGATTATTCTGAACCCAGCGTTTTGAGTCCTACGGGGGTCCGAAAGCTGGCGCTCTCTGTGTGTGCGTCTGCATGTGCGTGCGTTCATGCACATCTGTGCATGCGTCCATGCACATCTGTGCGTGCGTCCATGCACATATGTGTGTGCGTGCACATCTGTGTGTGCGTGCATGATCTCACAGGTGGGGAGTGGTTAGGGTAGTGGTTAGCGCGCTGCGCTATAAACCTAGCGACCCGAGTTCGATTCGTCCTCGCGGTCAACACCAGTGGCGTTTATCTGAACCGGTTCTTGGCATTCCCTAAGTCGACTCAGCCTTAAATGAGTACCTGGTGCAGTGTATAAACATCGGCACTGGGGAGACAAAGGCGGCCGGACGTGGTGCTGGCTACCCACCCACTCGTGTGCCGTGCCGGCTTTCGTGGGTCCACTTTCCCCCAAAGCCTGTTGAGGCTATACGGGGGATCTTTGTACTGTTCCACAGGTGGTGCATCTGCCAGTCAAGTCTGGCAGTCAACCCATTGCACCTGGGGCTGTCCGGCGACCTCCTGCCAGCGAGCCTTCCGCACTTCCCGTGCCAGCCTCAGGGTGCACCTAGCCTGGCACAAGCGCTGGGGCGGTGTGACGTTGTTGCTGTTCTCACCGGGTGCCGGAGCGCACGAACCAGGGCTGCGGGGAGACGGCGTTGACGGCGCGGTGAGCCAGCGGGTGCGTCTTGGCGAAGCTCAGCGCCTCGTCCGGCAGCAGCGGCGAGCGGGGAACGCAGCCGCCTCCCCCTCGCCCGCACACGCACCGGGCCTGGCGCGAGACGCGGGGGCGAGACGTGGGGGATGAGACGCAGGGCGACACCCCAGGTGACACACGGGTGACAAAAAGACAAAGATCAACAGATTGTTGGGGCAAGTGCTGATAGCGAATTGCACCTATGAAGACCGGCACGGCACACGAGGGGATGGGTGGCCAGCACCATGCCCGGCCGCATTTGTAGATGTTTACACATCACACCAGGTACTCATTTGAGGCTGAGTCGACCTAGGGTAAGCCCAGGACCTGATCAGATAATAGTCGTGAGTGTTGGCCGTGAGCAGGAATCGAACTCGGGTCGCTGGGTTCGTAGCGCAGCTAGCTGACCGCTACACCACAACTCCCCACACAGGGTGACACTGTGATTACACGGGGAGACGCACAGGGTGACATACGGGGTTAGACATGGGGTAAGATAATGGCACACGGGGTAACAAACGAGGTAACAAGGGCTGAGAGACGGGAATGAAGCGATAAGCAAGACATGTTCGACAGAGAGACATGTGGACACGGGCATGAGGAACACAGACAGAGGACACAGGAACACAGAGACACACAAGGGATCACAGCCGCATGGCATGATGTCAGGGGCATGATAATGATGTCACGGTGTGATGGGAGTGGTGTGATGGCACTGATGTAATGGGAGTGGTGTGATGAGAGTGTTATGATGGGAGTGGTGTGATGGCACGGTATTAATTCTAGATTTGAAGCTTTCGTGACTGCAAGGATTCATACTCTCAGGTTTTTTCGGTAAAGTCACGTAGGTAAAAAATAAAATTAAAAGTTAATAAAAGTAATAATGGAAATAAAATAAAATAATAAATCACGACGTTTCGGAGGCAACACAAGTCTTCGTTATCAGGTGGGACCGTCACAGCTAAAATTACTGCATCAAGCTGTGACGGTCCCACCTGATAACGGAGACTTGTGTTGCCTCCGAAACGTCGTGATTTATTATTTTATTTTATTTCCATTATTACTTTTATTAACTTTTAATTTTATTTTTACCTACGTGACTTTACCGAAAAAACCTGAGAATATGGCACGGTATGATGGCACGATGTGATGGGAGTGGTGTGATGGGAGTGGTGTGATGGCACGGTGTGATGGTATGGTGTGATGGGAGTGGTGTGATGGTAAGGTGTGATGGGAGTGGTGTGAGAGTGGTGTGAGAGTGGTGTGATGGCACGGTGTGATGGCGGGTCTGTGTTGTGATGCACCTGGGGGTGGGTGTGCGGGCCTCCGGCACGGCGAGCCAGGGGCCGTCGGGCCCTCGCTGCTCCGAGTAGCGGCCCTGGAAGGTGCTGGCCACGTCCTCCATGTCGAACGCGCACACGGCCGAGCCGTGGATGCTGCGCACACGCGCGCACGCATGTAAAGACAAAGCTACCCCGTGTAGCCTCTTGGAGACTGCTGGGGCAAGTGCTGTTAGCGAGGTCGGCACGGCACACGGGGGGTGGGTGGCCAGAACCACGGCCGGCCACTTTTGTCTCCCTTAGTGGGGATGTTTACGCGCCGCAACAGGCACTCATTTGAGGCTGAATCGACCTAGGGGAGGAATCGAACTCGGGCCACCGGGTTCATAGCGCAGCGCGCTAACCACCACACTACCGCTTCCCACACTCGATCACTCAAACACACCAACACAATCTCGCATTCACAAGCTGCAGAACGGGGAGAACACGCGGGCTCCAAATATACCGCGGGCATCGCCAGGCTCTGGGGCTCGAACCCACGTGCTCCTTCGCGGCAGGCGAGGGTGGTAACGTCTCCTCGACAGCGCAGTGATGCCTGGGTGACGGCCGGGTCGGGGTGGAGGGGGTGGGGTGGAGGGGGTGGAGGGGGTGGGGTCGGGGTGGAGGGGGGGGGCACCTGTTGAGGGGGGTGGTGAAGACCCCGAGCACGAGCTCGCGACCCCCGATGTGGAGCACCTCGGAGACCCCCTGGAGCTCGTTGAAGTAGAAGGGGGCGTCCCCCGGCGCCTCGCCCCCCACCGAGCAGTTGAGTCGCGCCTTCACGAACGAGCTCCAGTGGCCATCCAGCACGCGCTGAGAGCCCCCCGCGTCGCTCTTGCAGACGCGCGCCACGCGCGAGAACAGCACCTGGGGGGGGGGGGGGGGGCAGCGACGCACCTGTGTCAGCACGCCTACACAAGTGAAGGAACCCATGAATGAAAGCCGGTGTGTGTTGGTGTGTGTGTGAGTGAGTGAGTGAAGGCCGGTGTGTGTCGGTGTGTGAGTGAAGGCCCATGTGTGTCGGTGTGTGTGTGAGTGAAGGGCGCGTCACCTTGCCCATGGAGCTGAGCTCAACGGCGATCTCCGTGAAGAAGAAGTAGACATGCTGCCCGTGCTCCAGCACCCTCACGAACACGGGCTCTGTGCACCGCACGGCACACGCGTGACGCACCACACACAAGACACGCGTGACGTACCACACACAAGACACGCGTGACGTACCACACGGTTGACTCACGACACGCGTGACACACAACACAACCTCAGACACGCACACACCTGCCTTGACACAGTACTCGTGATGTGACACGACCTGACACGAGCAGGTCGTGTCACGTCACAGGGGGGGCCGGGCGGTGAGGGTGGGGGGGGGGTCGGTGAGGGAGGGGGGTTAGTGAGGGCGGGGGGTTAGTGAGGGGGGGGGTTGGTGAGGGTGGGAGGGTCGGTGATGGGGGGGGGTCGGTGAGGGTTGGTGAGGGCAGGGTGGTGAGGGGTCAGTGAGGGGGGGTTGGTGAGGGGGGGGGGGTTGGTGAGGGCAGGGTGGGTGAGGGGTCAGTGAGGGGGGGGGTCAGTAGGGGGGGGGTCAGTACCCTTGAGCCACTTGGAGTCGAGTTTGAGGGAGCGCAGGGGGGGCCCGGGCCCCAGGCTCCCGTAGACCACCGCGTCCACCCCCAGGGGGTCCACGGCCGTGGCCGAGTAGAGACGCTCGCCTGCACGCACAGATAAAGGTCCCCCAGCTAGCGCGCGTCCTGTGGGGGGCAAGTGCCCGTTGGCGAGCGGCACCCACGATGTGGCAAAACACCACGCCCGGCCGCCTTTGTCTCCCCAGCGCCGTACCAAGCGCTAATTTGAGGCTGAGTCGACCTAGGGGAGGCTCGGGACCGGTTCGGATAATCGCCACCGCTGTTGGTGGCCGTGAGCGGGAATGGCACTCGGGTGGCCGGGCTAGTCGCGCAGTGCACTCACCACTTTGCCACCGCTCCCCCACGCACGTCCGCACGTACACACGTCCGCACACGTACACACACAGACACACGGACACACGTGTGTCGCTGGCGTGTCGCTGCGACCCCACGGACCTGCGAAGGCAGCCGCCCCTCCCTGCCGGGGGTCGAAGGGACACTTGGCGAGGCCACTCGTTTGCTCCCCAGTGAAGGACAGGTCCGCCAGCTGTCCACGCACACACACACGTACACACACGTACACACACACACACACGTACACACACACACGTACACACACGCGCACACACACACGCGCACACACACGCACACACACACGTGCACGCACACACGTGCACACACGCACACGCACACACACGTACGCACACACACACACACGCACACACACGTACACACACACACCGACACACACACGCGCACACACATGCACGGACACGCACGGACACACACGCGCACACGCACGCACACACACACGCGCGAACGCACACACGCACACGCAGGGGCACTAGGAATAGACACTGCGTGACACTGCTGTGTGTCTGACACTCCGTGTGTGACACTGCTGTGCGTGACACTGCTGTGTGTGTGTGACACTGCTGTGGGTGACACTGAGAGTATGTCACTGCTGTGTGTGTGACCCAGGCAGCAGTACCTGGTAGTTCCTGCACGTGGGGCTGTATGCGTTGGTGCCGCACACAAAGAGGAGTCCGTCTCCTCGTGGCGCAACCACCTTCATGAAGTTGTGACACTCCTCCTGCGGTGAAGACAAACATCCCCCGTACAGCCTCCACAGACTTTTGGGGGCAAGGGCTGTTTAGCCAGCACCTGTGAAAGCCGGCAAGGCACACGAGGGGGCGGGTGGCCAGCACCATGCTCGGCCACCTTTGTCTTTTTACACACCACACTAAGTACTCGTTTAAGGCTGAGCCGACATTGGGGATGCCCAGCACAGGTTCAGATAATCGTCACCGGTGTGGGCGGCCGTGAGCGGGAATAGAACTCGGGCCTCTGCTGGGTTCATCGTCTCCCCCGAGTGACGCCGGTGTCACCCGCGTGACGCCGGTGTCACCCGAGTGACGCCGGTGTCACCCGCGTTGCCAACGGCCACGAAGGGCGGTGGCCCAGGGGCGGCCCCATCGTTCACCGCGCGTTCGCAGACGCTCGCGGTGCGAGCCCGGCGGCCGCCCGGTCAATGCTGCGGCTGATATTCACGTGGGCGGTTAAAGATTCCCGTGACGTCATTCGCACGAGTAGGCCAACGACGTGCGCCGGATTCGTGGTCCAATTTTTCTGTCGCCAACATGTCAACAAGTTAGCACCGCGCGAGTTACTCAACTGACAGACTAATACACAGGGACTGCTGCCACTGGGGGTGCTCCTAGGCGAGATCACACAGCAGCCATCGCCCCCTGCTGTGAACGCACCTCAGGCTGTGTCTGTGATGCACGGCAGCGACTTCCTTCCCGAGGATCGCGCTGCGCTATGAGAAGAGGGAGCTCATACGGACTATTTGGTTTTTTTTTAAAATAATATTTTCCCAGGTAAGGTCCCACTGAGCTACGTAGCGCTCTTTTCAATAAGCGACCTGGCTATCGCAAGTGACAGCTCAACGAATTGGCTTGTCACGTGGACATTTATAGCGGCGAAATGCTCTAAACGCGTGATGTTGATTCTAAATGTGGAGGGGAAAAACCGGAGGACCTGGAGAAAAATTCACGCGACCACGGGAAGAGAGACACGCAAACTCCAAATATACAGCAGCAGGTGTCAGGGTTGGGATCGAACCCACGACCTCCTGTAGACCAAGCGAGGTAGTTAACATCTAGCCACCGTGATGATGATGAGAGAGACGCAAACTCCAAATATACAGCAGCAGGTGTCGGGGTTGGGATCGAACCCACGACCTCCTGTAGACCAAGCGAGGTAGTTAACATCTCCTAGCCACCGTGATGTTGAGAGAGAGAGACACGCAAGCTCCAAATATACAGCAGCAGGTGTCCGGGTCGGGATCGAACCCACGACCTCCTGTGTACCAGGCGAGGGGGTTAACATCTATCCACCGTGACGACCAGGGGTTGGCAACCAAAACTCGGTACAAAATAAACCCTCAATACTCCTCGAGCCGCAATGCACTGCGTGGTGAATGCGAGACGGTGGTGAATGTTGATGAAGAGCGTCACGAAGTGGGTGTTCAAGAGCCGCAGGTTGGCGACTCCTGAGCCGTGAGAGAGGGGCCCTCGTGGCCGTCTGGCCTCACCTCCGTCTTGCCGTTCATGAGACACCGGTCCACCTCCTGGCGCTCCGCCATCCACGTCAGCTTCTGCGATAAAAAAAACTCCTCACCCATCACGCTCTTCACCTCACGCTCCTCACCCATC